GGGAAGGGTGCTGGCACCTCCCTGTCAGCCCAGCAAATATTTTTGACATGAGTTCTTGAATTCTGGAAGAGCCAACAAGAAGGCTATTAACGCAGTCAAATACGTTATCCAACTGCAAGAGTGGTTGTGAAATACTGTAGCGCAGGAATAATTTCTGTGTGCTCTGACTTAGTGACTTCGCTTATGTTGGACCAACATTTGCTGCCTTTGGATTTTTATCTCAGTTCTGGTTTTAAAGATGGAGCGTCAGCAGTTACTTGTTCAGTGTGCTCCTGCTGGACGAAGCCACCAGTTCCTTAAGCCATCTCCCTGCCTCAAAATCAAACCTGTTTTCCCCCCTCCTCCCAACCTGTGTGTCCTTCAAAACTGGCTGTGCTCATTGCATTTCCTCACATCCCCGGCTTCTAGGCTGTTACAGCTTGTTCCCTCACATCTCTCCAGAGCCTTTCCTTGTCAGAAGCTCCCAAACATGAGCTCTTCCCTCTTAAAAGCCTATTGTATCCCAGTGTTTTACAAGAGAAGTGAAATGAGACACAGCAGACAGTTCTGAGCTGGCATCTCTCACAATTGTCTGAGATTGAATGTCATTTAAAAATAAATCTTTTTGTAACAGTCTTGCCAGGTATGGAAAGTGTTGTATGTAAAGAATATTTAATGAAATGTTGTAAATTTGGAGACAGTATTTTCTTTAAAATATATGTATTTTTTAATTGTTTACCCGATCCAGGCAGTGCTAGCGGTGTGCTTCAGTTTTGTTCAGAAGTGTGATGAACACCGAAAAGTTGTATTTGGGGAGATGGTCACTGTTGTATTTATTGTTTAAAAACTGGATGAAGTGGAAATTAGCAGTTGAAAATGAAATTCACTGCATAGCTTGTAACTGCTGGCAGAAACCAGGGCGCGTCTTTGTACGAGCCGCAGACAACACTCAGTGCTGTGTGAAAACACAGCAGAGGGGACCGGTGATCCCAGGGGAAGAGGGCTTAGTTAGGGTGATCAAGATAGTTTCTAATATGCTACAGCTTTTATTAGTTCTAGTCTTAATTTGTGATTAATTGATGCTGGAGCTGAGTGAGGGGTTTGGTACATTTTGGTAAAATTGTGATTTAAGGAATTGAAATTGAGAACTATTTTTCTCTAGGGTAGGCTATAATAAAGTTAACTTTCAGTGTGGGAAAGGTGTAAGAGAAAAGTTTCAATCATTTGACGTGCATATTAAGAGCTAAAGACCTTTTGTATTAGGACAAGCTTGGGATGGCTGTGAGTCAGTGTTTGGACAGTAATAACGTGCAGGGTATGATTTGTTGCTTTAACTGTCGCTTAAATTGCTTTTCAGATATTCCTAAATACACTCAGATATACCCAGTGCTAAATTAATACTTTGTTTTGCTTTAAAACCTAGGGGAAGATGTATGCCAATAGATCATATGCTTCAACTCCACACTGAAATGGTAGTCGGGCAACTGAGTTTTGGGTTTAATCACAGTTTGTCCGAAGAGCACTTTACTGTTTGCTGCTGTATTTAAAAATAAATGTAAAGCCTCTTCTGGAAAGCTCTCCTGTGATCTCTGAAGTGAGATGATGACTTTAAAAGACTGTGAAATTCCCTTGAAAAGTGCACCTACAAATATTAATTTGCCTACTGGTTGATTAAAAAAAAAAAAGGGAGTAGGCTGTGAAGAAGAAAGAGTACCAGAGTATTGGGAGGAGGTAGATACGGCCTTTTGCGTGATCTTTGCAAGGTTAAATAGATGCTCAAGCACATGGTAATCTAGCTGTTCTTGAAACTGGTTGAATGTCAAACTGTTCTCCCCAGAGGATAAAACTGATCTAATGAAGCTGTTGAGCATGGGAACTCTGAAGAACAGAGTCATCTCACACGCTTGATGGTTTTCTTGGCTTAGGGCCCATAATTATGTATGTTGTCCTATGGTTTTCCTTTGAAAGTTTAAAATGGATGGTGATACTGTTTCTGGCAATGTCTTAATTTTTTTAACAGTGAAGAAAATGTGGATCTGAATTCTTTTCACTTGGATTCTCCCTGTTTGACATCCACCCAGAAAGGAGACAGGCCTCAAAGGTGTGAGAAATTCTTCGATGAAGACTTCCCTCTGGAGATCAATAACCCTTCAGTGACTAAGCCAACAAATAGATGCTGCAGTGCTACCATGGACCAAGTCAGTATTTTATTGCAGAATGTACTTCATTAATTTTAAGGGGCATTGCGACTGATGGTAGGAAAGCAAATGTCTGCCGGCATGGAAGAACTGGGGACTCGAATGATGAGACAGCAGGCTTAAAGCAAAGGTGGTAAAATATTTTTTCAAAATAATTCCTTGTTTTCTCAATATATCTTGGACAGCATAAGCCTAAGTGAGTTAAAAAAAAAAAGAAAAGACAAGGTTTTGAAATGAAAGGCTTTAGGATAATGGATGCTGGCTAATTGGTAATTCCAGTAAAGCACAATATCTGAGTTCATTTGGACACAGTTATTAGAAGCTACTGGATGCTGTTTCTTTCTTGTTCTGCCTGGTTTCCCCTCTTTCTCATGTCTTTGTTTATTCTCCCCTTTATCACTGAAGTGTGATACACTGTGTGTGATACGTGTTGTGCTACATATTCGTGCATGTGAAGATCTGTTAAAAAGCTGGCACTAGGAAAGACCTCTGTGTTTAATAGAAATACCAGCATTTAGACAGAGTCTGGAGCAGTGTTATGTTGTAGTATTTTGAACTGAGACATTTAAAGATGAAAGTGATGATTCTTGGTATGTTATAATCCTTTGACATATCCCAAAAAGATAATTTCATAACTTTGGCTCACTTTCTGTCTCTTCCAGGACACCAGTTCCCCCATAAGTAAGCTGCAGCATGCATTGGCCGAGACTCGACAGATGGTTGCTGATCTGGAGCTTAACACTCTCCTCCACGCAAGCCCTCGCTGCAGTCCAAACAGCAGCAGCATTAATATGGTATATATTACTCCCCTATGACTAGATTTAGGTGGCCGGGAAGGTGGTTCTGAACATCCTTTCCCTTATGCTTGAATTGTGCTACGACATTATAAACAATATCCTCCTCGCGCTTTGCTAAAGAGAAAATTCCTGCATGCCTTAGCATGAAGTACTTGAATTTTTTTATAGGATTCTTTAGGGCTCCTCAAGGTCATGACAGGTTTTATCTTTTGCATGTGTCTAAACAGATGGAAGGAAGAAGTCATTTTGGAGCAAGCTGTAGGAGGTCTAGAAAAAAGCAAACACAAGTATGACTTACATTCAGAACTGGTTTATTACACTAGGTATAATTGTGGAAAGGGGGACAGTATAGGAAATAGGTGATATATAGAATAGTTTTGTATATGAATTTAAACCAGACTCTCGGCTTATGTGGGTTAATAGTTTTAGTTCCTTCATTACAGGGTCAGAGAACATACTCAATGGTCAAAGAAAATAACCTGTACGTAGCTGTCATGGCAATTTATTGTATGAGCATGAATGCTGGTAGGGAGTTTCTGTCTTGAGTGCGTGGGCAATAGGGGTAATTGGAGAAGGGGGCACTTGCTTGTTTTCATAAATATCCTTAAGAATTTCTACCTTGTTTGACAAGGAGATTGTACCACTCATTACTAGAAATGAGTAAACTTGTGCTGATACGTATCACAAAGGGAGAATTCAGGCTTTTGGTTTTAAAGCAGACTCCTAATGAGAAGGCTGCATGCTGAAACCTCAGCTTCCTCCTGAAAGGTATTACCTCTTTCTAAAAATGTTGCACTCCTTATATCCTTAGATGAACTTGACCAGAACAATGTTACTGTAAGTAACAGACAAAGCAATTTTGATAACATTCAGAACCATAAAACCTTAGTTGTGCTGGGACTGACTGACAGAGTATAAAAGTTTTGTGCCAGCTTTTGCATAAACTGAAAGGATATTTTGTTCAGGAGTTCATCTGTAGGATTTAATTCAGCGTGAAAGACAGCAGCAGTGTAGCTTTTGCAAAGACTGTCTTGTAGGAGGGATTCCTGAAAAGCTCTCTGCAGAACAGTGGTTGCTTGTGGCTCTTGCCCAGCCCCGTCAGCTGTCTGGCTCCTGCTTACTGGTTGGCACGTCACAGCTTGGCTAAACCGGCTGTCCGTTAGTAGCGAGCCTGACTCTGCTTTATAACCTGATACTGCATTTTTGAGCTTGGAAATTGGCTTCTCATTCGGAGCGGTTGCTTTAGTGGATAGAAAATAAAGCAGGCTCATGTTTACTGGGGGGGTAGCTTCTGAACCACATCTGTAGAACTTTGATCTACTTTCAGAGTGGTTCTGGGCAAAAACTTGTCAAGCGTGTTTTAGTTAATCTATGCAGGCCAACTAATCTGTGCTTAAAACCAGGTTTACCTGAGGCTGTTTAAACTGCGCTTTAAAACATAATATATATCGAATATAACCCTTAGAATGTAATCAGTAAGAATTTGTATGTGTTGGATTCTGTGCCCTGCTGGGGGAGGGAGGAGAGGGAATTAAAAAGTGTATCCTTGCTGCTCGCCAGTTTCAACCTGGCAGCTCTGTATACAATTTTTATTGTCTGAGCTCTTTGATTTCCAAAAATGTGTTTTTGCATTACAATATAGACAACAGAACTTGCAGAAGCTCTTCACAGAACCCAGTTATCTGCTGCAGAAGAAAGAGATGCTAAGCTTCCATTCTTTTCTCTATGACATTCTGTGAGTATGAAGGTGTTTTCAGCTTCTTTTTTTGTTGATTTTTTGGTTTCCCTCTTTATTGCATCTGCAATATTAATACAAGTCTATGGACTTCTGAGATGACTATGGACATGGTTTAGCGGTGGACTTGGCTGTGTTAGGTTTACAGTTGGACTCGATGATCTTAAAGGTCTTTTCCAACCTAAATAATCTATGATTCTATGAGCCTGGCACAAGATTCTAAGTGCACTGCTCTGAATGCATTTCCAGTAAAACTCTTGTGAGTACTGTAACAGCAAAGAGATATTAAGGCAGGAAGTAATTCCTTTAGTCAAATAATTAAACTTTTCTCAAGCGTGTTCCTCATCCTCTAGGCAGTCAGATCTCGCAGCTTCATTCCCGAGTACCTGCACACCGCTTATTGTAGTTAAAATCCTTCTGTGTGTTAGAGATAACAGGATCAAGGATATGAACATTGTTGAATAAGAGATCGGGAAGTGTTTTTCAGTGCCACAGCCAAGGGCCTTTTTAGCATATTGTTCCTGGGCTCAGAGCTCCAAAAGTAGAATGTATTGAAGAGAGCTGTTTCAGAATATAAAAAGCAGCCTTGCCCATACCAGATTGTTTTTTCTTTTTGAATCAGGAAATTTCTCACTCTGATTATTTGTTCTGCTAATGTGAATTGGATGCTTGCAACAGGCACCATGTTGTCTGGTTCTGAGGACAAAAGAGTAACCAGATATGGTTAAAATACCGAACACCACATAAGAAACTGAATAAGAACTAGCAACAATGGGGGGAAAAATTGACAAAAAAAGAAATCTTCCAATGCTGACACAACCCAAGCGCATGTCTGCAAAGTTATTACACAGCCAGCTGGAGCGTGAAGCTGTGTGGCGCTGGATTTCTCATACTGATCAACTTGGATCCAGTGGGGAACTGGTGCTCACTTCTTCTCTCTCGGTATATTCAAACTGCAGTCCCTGAACTGTTTCTCCCCTGTGGAGCCAAAACCCTCTGTGCCCCTGGGGAGAGGCGTTGGTTTGTAGCACCCTCATGTTCTGCTGTTTCTGCATTAAGTCTGGAGACTCTGAGTCTTCTTTCAAAATAAGTTGGGTCTGCTTAGTGCATGCTAATGGGGCTCTCATAGGAAATGGATGCTGAGTAGCTGGAATGCCGTACCTTACGCTGCTGTAATGTTATGTTATGTACCTTATGCTAATGTAATATGTAGAGAGCTGTTCTTTTCCTAAAAAGAGCCCTAAGGTAAAAGAAGCTGGAGGTTTTCTAGATCGAAGCCAGCACTGTGACTTGCATCCTGAAACTACTGATGTTAAAAAAGTTTTCAGGAGCAAATCCCCAAAACTGCTGAGCACCATGCTGATACAGCAAAGCGGTAAGCATACGCTTAGCCTACAGAAATAATCTCATTTGCTTCAAGTGAGAAAGAACTGGTGGAACAAATGTACCCACAATTCACTGTAGATCCATGGCAAGAATTAGTGACTGTGCAAGTCACTGGCTGCTGCATAATTCTTATTTTCTTTGTTTATTAAAAGGCACTGAATCACTGTGATCAGTTAAATCCAAAGCAGTTTTTGCAGAGTTGGTAGCAGGTCCAGAAATAACTAAACATTTGTGCAATTTCATGTAGAGAAGTGATTGAATTGATTTTGGTTGCGTTTGGGGGTTTTTTAATTGCTCTGAAATCATTTGAGGGCAGGTGCACTGATAAACGTGAGGTTAATTTCCTAACTAGCTGACGGTGATTTAGCCATTTTCATCAGTTGTTTTTCCTTTAGAGAGAGATTAGGTGGGGGAGAGTTGAAGAACAGAGGAGGAAAGCAGTGAGTAAAAGGGTATATTCAGTTTTGGATACCGAAGCATGTGCCACTGCTCGTAAACTGACTCAGTGGCTGGCCGAGGGCACAAAGATCACTCCTTTTTGCAAAACAAACTGGGAAGATTTTATTTCATAACACTCCAGTCTCCAGTGGTGTCCCTGAGCCTGTTGTCTTTCTGTAAAGTGTTTTGTTTACCTTTCTCCTCTTTATATTTTTACTCTGTGTTTTTATTGTCTGCAGTGTGAAAATTTATATAGTAAATTGGCATATATGTGATTCCTTCATATATTTTAGAGGAAATGTTCCTGCATTTTAATGAAAGTCTTTAATTTTCTGCAGTGGATGAAGAAGTTTCCAATATAGAATTAATTTTGAGAACTGAAGAACATCAACCTGTCAGCTACAATGGAAAGTTACCTCATTTTTTTCCATGGTTCTGTGAGTGTTTGAAAGACTCTCAAGTGGCAAAAAGAAGTCACTATGTGGGAATATATTTTATCTTGAAATAAAACATAGAATTATGCCAAGATTAACAAAACTATTTTTATAGCTGAGAGCTCAGGTTAAATACTAGCTTGTTTTTTAAGAATCTTAAGTGCGTAACTGTTACAACATAGCAACTATTTTTCTTACCTTTTTTTTTTTATGGTGGCTCAGAAATATTTATAGCGTATGACACAGCCAAACATTCTTTTTTTTTTTGTTAGTTTATTGTTCTTGTTCTGGACTTCTTGCCATGTAGAGAGAGATGAATAATGTTTATAGGAAGTTCCCAATTAGTGGTGTAACCAGGAAATGCCTCCTACATTGTTGAAATTGGAGAGCTGTCACCCACAAGATGGGCAAAACAACTCTTCCCCAGTCAGGAGCTGTTTATTCTAACAAAAGCTTCTAACAAGATCAGGTGTGTATGGGCTCTGTTAGCACCGTATGGCAGCAGCCGAGCATAACGTGACTGGCTTTTTAGCATTTAAAGTGTTTTTATCTTGGACTATTGGGCAAGACGTTCCGTTATCACACTTTGAACTTATTTTTTAACTAAAAGGTCAAATAAGCTAATAAAGATGATACCTTTACTGTATCTTTTTTGCCTGTTTAACACAATGTCCAACACATTTAGTACTTAATTTATGACGGTTCTCTGGGACGTAGGACACCAACTGCCAGAGACACGAGTGGGCCGCTTGGTCACATGTGGACTGTGAGCGGTTTGGGACACCCGTGCCCAGTCCACACGGCTGAGCGCTGCGCCAGCGTTTTCCCTGCGTGGGGGCAGCTAAGAGGTGGGAGTCTCTCCGTCTATCCACTGCCACGAATTAATTGCAGTGAAATACAACACTTGCACCATGGTTTCCCCTTGTTAACTCCTTCATATAATTTTCCGCTTTCTCTTTAATTACCTAAATGACAGCCTGCTTTCCTTCGTGTACTAATGGCCTCAAAATTAGTCGACCAATTCTGATTATAGCTGCTGTCCTCCAAACTCTTTCTCTCCCTGCCCATAAGCATTACTCGCAGAAGGAATCTCTGCTTCTCAGGTTTTTTTTCAACTTTCCACAAGCCTTTAAAGCACGTTTGATTCCTCTACCTGTAGAGAAACTATCCAGGCTCCATCCTCAAAATCTGCTGCTGTGGGTAGGACAAAAATTCCCCCCAAAAAGCCACCGATACCAATACCGTCATGCTCACCCTGAAGCTGGCCAGCAACTATACCGTATGTCAAACCCTAGAGAAATTGGTGCAGCTTCCCAGCGTGAGCTGTGCTTTCCGGTTTAAATGTGTTTGGCGTGAGTGGATGAACGCACTGAACCCCCTGGTGAATTTAAAATGCTCTGCTGATGGCTTTAAAACCAATATAGAAAACTGAGCTCAAGCGATGCAACAAGGATCCACAGAGTGCTAGGATTTTGTGTCAGGGCTGTCCTGGATTTGTGGAATAGGAAGAAGGGGAATATTGGGGTTAATTTATTTGGGCGCTAAGTGACTTGCAAACGAACTGTATTATCTGCCACACCTGAGGCTAGTATCGAAACTCAAGCCGCATCAAATTCGGCTGCCTTATTTCTGGAAGCATTACAAATACTCCAGGGAGTGCCTTTGCTATTGTATTCTCGTATTGAATTATTATCAAAGAAAGCAAAGCTTCTGTTCAGCCTCGGCCTGCTTTCCGCAGGGGCGGATGTGCTCTCCGCAGGGTGGACGTGCTCTCTGCTGCTTGACTTTTCTGACTGAGGAGCGGGTAGTAACGAAGCTCCGAGTCTATTAAATGTGTCGCGTGTGGGTTTATTTAGAGAAAGATGACGAAGGAGCCTGTTGTGTCATTAGAAACAGGACGTGGAATAGGAAATGGGAAAGTATGGTGGAGCGGGAAGATCAGCGCCCTGCCTGTCACCTTCCCTGCCCCGTGGCGGGCGCTTCGGGAGTTAGGGAAGAGCCTCGGCGCCTTCTGCCCCGCGGGGGAAGCGGGGCGGGAGGGCTCGGCCGCCGTCGGACGTTTCGCCCGGCTCCCTGCTGGGGAA